CTGATTCATCATTTGTAGCTTACCTGTGTCTGTTAATTTAGACCTAACTTAGGAGAGGAGTAACTACAAACTCTCTTATCTCTGGCGTGGGGAGGAGCGTTTGCAGGGAAGTGTTGGCAGAACAATGTATGCTTTTTTAGTTCTGGGTCAGCTCTTTTCCTGTCCTCAGCTCTCTCTCCCTGTGGTACAGGCTGCTCTCTAGTAATGTGAAACCGTGGACCACATCCACCCGATAGGAGAGTTCAGTAAAATAGTTCAGTGTTAACATTTCCGTGTCCATCCTGATAGCCTTCAGCCTAAAAGATAAATTGTTTTAGTAGTCATTGATTAGAAGAAAAGAAGTAATTAGTAGTTTAAATTTAGTGGTGGCTATTAGCTAGTAGGTGTATTTGTGTTTACAAGAAAACAGTGACTTCACGGTGCTATATAATCACTTTATACATTATAATGTTGCTTTATGTGTCATCTTTGGACTATCACACTTGTGTGAATTATGTTTACTGTTTGGTTACTAAATTGTATGTGTGTGATGTGTCTGAGCACCGAACCAGCAGTGAGGGTCAGAGAACAGCTTTGGAGTCGGTGCTGTCCTCCATTGTGGGTTCTGGGGATCAAACTCAGGTCATCAGGCTTGTGTGGCAAGCTCTTTTCCTTGAGCTCTCTGGCCCTGTATGAATATTATCCTCATTTCATAGGTGTAGAAGTAGACAGACAGTTACCCGCAGTTACATAATACACACTGGAGGCAACTCCAGTTTTCTGAGTCTACCTCTGTGCTTCTCTGACCTTTATTTAATCTATGTAGTTAAGGGTAAGCAGACATATTATCACCCTCACGTATATTAAAGAAACTTGCACGTGTCCTAAAGCACCATTAATATACGTACATCTTGTGATCCGTTACCTATAGAAACAGAAGTTTATATACTAATTTTAGTCTTACAGTTATTGTTTAGTGTACAACAGTTGTTTCTATGTTTTGATTTCTCACATTTGTTGTTTCTAGAGGTTGTACATGGTTTATTCCAGAGTGTTTGTGTGCTGTTCCCCCACAGGCAAACATGCAGGCTGCTTCCAGCCCATACACTGTCAAATGTATCTCATATATGACTTACCTGTTTGTGATACAGTGCACACAGGGGAATTTGAGATCAGAAAGATAGTGCCAGCAATGTGTAACCAAACCCATATGCTTATGAAGTCAAAATCTTGTCAGATTTTCCTACTTAATATAGGTGGGGCAGTGTTTAATACTCGTTTTAGGGTACATTTCTGTAAACTAGTATCCAGCCATGTTTTTCTCTGTGTTTCACTGAGCGAACGTGACTGCTCTCAGGCTGTCGGACATGGATGGCTGGAGACTGGAGACAGAGTATTGTTTGCAGAGATTTTATCAGCTCCCTGAAAGTTTCAGAGATGAAACCTGTGTTCGCAATGTTGGGTTCTCTGTTACTTACCTTTCAATCTCTTTTCCCCACCTCTGTTAGCATTTAAAACTTAATAGAATCAAACTTACGCACTTTATAATCCATATGTTTGTTTCTACTTTTCATTGGAGTGTGTGTGTGTGTGTGTGTGTGTGTGTATGCATTTCATTTTCTATCTAAATTATCTTAAGTTGGCTTTTTTAAAAATGAGACAAAATCTTGCATATAGGCAAGGGTGAATTGGAACTCAGCATGTGACTCAGGCTAGTTTTGCGCCGAGAACAAATCCCACTGCCTCAGCCTTTTGAGTGTTAAGATCACAGGCTTGTGCTATCATGTCCAAAAGCTTCCTTTTTTTAAACAGTTGGTCATATTGTGGCATGAGACGGCGATCTAAACCAGTTTGTGTTTCTGCGGCTTTATTGGTACATGTGCAGTTTTGTCAACACCATCAATTATTGTTATTAATGCATGCTAAGGATTGAATCCAGAGCCTTACAGATACACGTGTGTTCTACCGCCGGGCTAAGGATTGAATCCAGAGCCTTACAGATACACGTGT